GTCGTTTGGCTGACAGCGGCTAACCCTCCCGGCTTAGCTAAAGGAGGGACGGACACCGTCACGAGCCGTCTGGACCTGTCCCAGGTCAAACACTGAGTCTCAAAGTTTGGCATGACGACACACAGCCCGTGTGAAGCGTTGACATTAGGGGTTAACATGGCAACACCAGACACACTGACTCACCGCCAAAGTTGTTATGGACCGAGCTCAGAGTCCATGTCGACGTGAGGCTAACGCCACGGGTCTCAGCCGCTCATGGCTCCTCAAACCCACTCAGGACGGGACCAGACGGACATTTAGCGCTGCGTGGACAGCATAGCGGTCCCTGTCAGCGTGTGGACCCACTTCAGCTTCCCAAACTACATGAGCTAATCCCAGACCTAGAGGACAGGGCAGCGGTGTGGACCGTCCACAGCTACTGCTGTTGACAGGCGGGCGGGACAAGGTTGTGATCCCGGTTAGCTAGCCGTTAGCTTCAGGGAGCACGCAGAGCCGGGAGGCTCGAGCCGAGAACTGCCCTCTGGCTCCCAGTCAGGCTGAAAACCGACGGTTAGGTGGCTGTCCACGGAGAACACGGGACGGCCTCACAGAATACACACTGTCATGTTTCAAACTTCACAGCGACGGCTCGCCGCCTCCTCGGTGAACACACTTCCGAGTAACACTTACTTCCTGTCACGTGACGAAAACAAACCATTCCACGAGTGCCGCTTACAAAAACGCGCAATGTCACGCGGGACCAGCTGCATTCCACACTGGGACCCCCTCCCACTGTAACTGACCATGACCTCCCGTCCACACTGGGGCCCCCTCCTACTGTAACTGACCATGACCTCCAGTCCACACTGGGACCCCCTCCCACTATCTATGATCTCGAGTCCACACTGGGACCCCCTTCCACTGTCATTGTCCATGTTCTCCAGTCCACACGGGGACCCCCTCCCACTGTCATTGTCCATGTTCTCCAGTCCACACGGGGACCCCCTCCCACTGTCATTCTCCATATTCTCCAGTCCACACTGGGACCCCCTCCCACTGTCATTGTCCATGACCTGCATTCCACACTGGGACCCCCTCCCACTATCTATGATGTCCAGTCCACACTGGGACCCCCTCCCAGCAATGGGGAAGACCTCGTGGTGGTATCATCTTTAGGACCATCCTAACTCTGTCCGTCCTCCACTCCTCTGCTCTGCCTGTGGTTGGGGGGGGGCGGCCATGTGGAGAGGAGTTGAGCTCGTACTAATGTGATAACACTTAGCCATGCTGCTTTCCAGGTGTTGCATCGTTGTTCGTTGTGCGTCCTTGCTGCTGGCTGTTACTGCTTGTGCGTTTTGTCGTTGCTTTAGTTTAGTTTTGTCTGCTTGCAGGTGCTCCTGATGGTCCTGCTTTTCTGTCTTTGATGAGGAAGAAACCAGAGCCAGAACCATCTGCCTGGACCCGCTGGGATTAGAGGCCATGTGTGCTGCTAACACCAGGCCAGCTATACCAGGTTTATTGTTATTGAGACATCAAACATGTGACATTTTCCTTTGCAGGCATTGACAACTGTAGATAGTAAAAAACTAGATACAACTTGTAAAATGGCCACAATATTAGGAGAAACACGCAGTTTGTGGACTGTTTGGATGCTACCAAACAGCTCACTGAGTCATAAACTCCTCAAACATCGGAGAGTTCTGTAGGAGTCCAGGTCACCAGGACAGCAGCTGTTAAGTCTGTGAAGCTTCGTATATGTTCAAGGGGAACCCTCAGTGTATCAGAAGCACAGTCAGATATGGTCGACATGTACAAAATATGAAGGCCAAGGGAAATATTCAGAGTTTATTGTGTCTATCAAAGCATTCCATCACACGTTTACAGTGTAACCGAGGACATGAGGAGAACCCTGCTCTGTTTCCACTGCAGGACCTGAAGCAGCATTTGAACTCAGCATGGCGTGTCTGCAGATCTGGATTACCCTGCTTTTCAGCTTAATGTCACGGCAGTGTGCTCAAATAGAACCCTACTGTGTGTTCTTAGTCCCTCTTAAGGGTGGATGCTCTGTTGATTATGCTGGATGTTTAGAAGCTTTAGGGTTTCAATTGCTAGTAGTAATACTAATGACGTAGTTTTGTGATAACAACGCTCATCATTAGACACCTTTCTGCTTATATGGTGTCAGGGGTTAGTAAATAAAATCTGTACAATGACCAAGCAGTAAACACCTGTTGTTTTTTTACTTTGAGTATGTTGATGCGTTCCATAGGATTATGTACCATTCTATAGGGAAAACTCTAAGTAGGGCTAAAAAAATCCCGTAAACTACAAGATTTTAACAGATCTACCTTTTTGTTAAGTGGCTTTTACATCACTTTAGCTTTCCAACAGTGCAGACGCAAACATATGAGAAGCCCTTATAATTTTCTGCTCCCTCGGTGAACTCCCCTGCAGCCCCTGACACTCAGAGGTCTCCTCAACTGTTTGGTCTGGATGCTCCTTTTGGTTAGTGGGAGCTTCACATTGCATATCCGGTCCAGAGGACTTTGCTCATCAGGAACTTGGGGATTCGGAATACAGTAATTATCAAGAAGGTAGTAGATGATAGAGCCAAGGTGATAGAGCCAGACGTCCACAAAGCTTTGCTGCCGACTTATCAAAATGTACAGACATCTTGCAAACCGCATCATGCACAGAGTAAAAAGAAGGCCTATTAGAAAATAGACTACATTCATCAACCAGTGCCTCTTATTATAGCTTTTTCTTTATTATGTTCAGTTTGGTTTTTATGGCTGTGTATTTACAGGGGTGTGAGGGGTCAGGTTTGATAAAAAGGACACTTTGACAAGTAGAAGGACTTGGAATTGGTTTCAGCTCAGTCAGAATAAAAATGATAGTCTAATGACTGAAACATGTTCCCTTCTTAATAAATCTGTCATAAAACCTCTTTATTTGAGTTATTTGTAAGGTTTGATTGTGGTAAATTCCTCATTGCTCTGATGGGCAGTGCAGAAGACTGGTGATAGTTACACCAACAGGATGTGGCAGTATCTCCCCGCCTTTGTTAATATGGGACCACATGGGGCGTATAAAGCTAAAAAAATATAAAAAAGAACCATGTTTGTTCCACAGTGTGCAGAACCTTTTATTGAAGCCATTTCCTCTATTACCATGTATAACGCAAGAACAGGAAAGTACTGATGATGATTATTCTTTTTTTAATGTATATTATGATAAATGAGAGCCAACTTCAGAAGGTCTTGTACCGTTTGTGAAAGTCAATTTCTCCAAATCTCCAAACATCACCTCCTGACTATGCTGGTGAAAACCTAACATCTGACAGAGGAATGTGTTTGCTCAGCAGCCAGTCCTCAGAAAGCATAGCTGTGTTTGAGCTCCTGCTAAGCCCAGCATCAGCCATAACAGCACGGAGCACACACTCACGTTCAGGAAGAGGCCACACAGCTGGGTCCCCTCAAAGAAGTACATGCAGAAGGTTACGTTTCATAAGGAGGCCTTAACCTAACAGCAACAATCCATGGCCTCTATAGGAAGACTGTGGCTCCCTCTCGCTCCTGCCAGGGGTGATGACAGTCACACATTGGTTTAAGAGGACAAACTCCATCCCTTATATCAGAAACTTGTGGAGGTAGTAGTTCATGGACCAAATCACCATAGCCCTAAGAGCATTGAGGGTAAACACAGAGCAACGAGTGCTGGGAAATGGAATCAGCTTCATGGAGCGGATAACAATGGAAAACCCCCATAACAGGTCCACCAACAGTTAAACCAAACAGAAATGCATAGGAACACTACAATGATCACAATTTCCCAACAATGTGCTCAAGATCGCATGCATTATGCGGTATTAAATTGTTCTCAAAGTCGTGAGGAACATCATAATCACATCTGAAAAAGGTACAGGGAACCCGCCTCTTGAGGGACAGCTGAGATGTTCTGGAAAACGAGTGAAGGGTTTTTGGTTTCGGCCGGGGACTCTTCTAGAGTAGGTACACAGGTTCTGTTCGGTTTCCAAAGGCACTTGGGGGCTTAATCTCCACTCTACAGACAGGACTGCTGTGGTGCTGCACAGATGAGTCATGTGACACGTCAACTGTCAACTGACATGTTGGGATATGAGGGGACGTTCTTGGATGAGTCCAGGCGCTTTGACGCCACTGGTCATCTACTTATACGGCTCTATTTTTGAGTTTTCATTTAGCAGCCATTATGTAAATAACTGGATTACTTGCATAAGTCAGGAGTTAACTTGATCAACTCCCGAGTTAAGGAAGAACTATCCAAATTCTCTCACCAGGTCAAATAAGCATTCTGCAACATATGAGAAGAAAAAGACTGAAAACATGACCGTGGGTAAACTTTACCGGCTGTTTTTTCTTTAGGTTGAACAACAGCATGAAGCATTTGTCGCAGTATTACGTTTAAATAGGATAATGAAATGTTCGGACAAAGTCAGTAAAAACGAGTTTATGACAACTTCTCCTTTAAGGCACTAGCAGCTCTGCTGGTGGAACTTCCAGCTGAGTCATACCTGAATTTTGGGACCCTGAGAAACCTATCTATTCCATGAACTTGTTCATTTTTCTTTCTTTTCCCCCTATACAATCCAAACACTGATGGGGATCATGTGAAATGGAGATGCTTAGGAGGTCGTGCCATGAACTGACCACCCATCCTGCACAGTGGAGACTTGAGAAGTCTGCAACATGTAATGGACGTGTTCTGTAGAAATCGATGCTGGAGCCAGCTCAGGTTGCTACTGTCCAGACTAAATGGATGCTGCATTTAGATGGAGATCTGCATTTGACAGGGATGAAGTTCTCTCAAAATGATGCTGTCCAAACCCATCTGTTACACGCGCGACTGCTCCCGGTCATCTTGAGTTTGACTTGCTGGCCTTTCCCTGCTCTGGATCGTTGCTGACCCTGATGGCAGTAGCTTCCTCCAGAAAGAGCTGCACACGAAACACTGGGCTTTTACCAAAGTCCTCATCCATCTGGTCAGTCTTTCCCCTCCTCCTCGTCACCTTTACTGGTCTTGCTGATGCGCTGGAAACAATGGACTATGGAAGCCAGAAGGAAACTGGTCACGATGGCAGCGAAGGAGACGGAGATGCCAGAGAAGATGACGATGAGGCAGTCTGTGAGGGTGAGGGCACCCCGGCACTCCCTGAAACTGTCCTCAGAGAATACACTGAGGGGAACACGGAGGCCGTCCGGAGGCAGTGAGCACTCTATGCCCTCCATACCTGGGAAGAGAGAACGAAAGAGTTACCACAAAGACAAAATGGCGGCAGACTCAGACGGTTGGCCTGAACTTGAAGACGTCTCACTATACGTTGAAGACAACCACCAGGCTGACGAGACATTACTGTAGAATTCCCGGTCATGTGACTGAGTCGTGGTTGTGTTCTGAGGAGGGTCTTGGTAACTGTCACTGCTATTGCTCCACTTTTATTGGAAGCCTTTGTTTTTGACCCTTCAAGACGGACATAGAATAATGAGCTCAGAAAAATGGTTCAAACACAGCAGACTTTCTACAGTGTAATCATATCCAAATCATATTCCTTAATGGATGACCTGTTGAGAAGAGATATATGTATACATTAGAGCTGTCGCAGCCAACACTTTTAAAAAAGGTCATTCATCTGATCACAATTCATTCCATTCGACCTGCAAACCCATGAACGTCTGGACATCCCGGCTGCAGGACGTTTGGCGTGATGAGGTGTGTGAGGGCCCAGCAGAGGGTGCTGCACCTACACAGAACACACCACTCAGGGCCCTGTGGCAAAAATAAAACTGCAGAAATACGGAAGGAAAGGTGTTGTGTTTTTCATTGTGTGTGCTGAGACGGTTGCAAAGAGGTGTTGTATCACTCTTCTACTCCTCTACCACTTTACCACTTTTCATATGAGAAAAAAAGCTAAATAAAGTGTACATGATAAAAAAGGAGGAAAGAATCAATGGAAAAATAAGAAAAATAGAGACCATAAAGACCATTTCAGCATTCACAACCCCCAAACCATGAGCCACACATTGAAAAACCACACACACAAGTTAAATATTACAACAACTTCATTCATAGTTGAATAATTTAAATGTGGCAAATAAGTGGTAAAGAAGGAAGTGGAGGTGTAAATAAAACCCTGATCACAGATACTAATAGGAGGTGTTCCACTAAAGGCGTTCAGGCCTTGCTACACAGGTGAGTCTTTCTTCAGCTTCCTTTAAAAAGATCACAAAGCTTTCTGGTCCACAAAAAGTTTCCTAAGATGGCGGTCATCTTACAACAAAAAAAATTCCTCAACATCAGTGACATGACTTTCAAATAAGGATCTGTACAGAAAGTATTTGTGTTCCTGTTACATTTGGTCACATTTAACCCGAAATAGTCAAATCTTCTGTTTTCCACATTACTATGTCTATGGATCCTACTGGTCTAATGTAATTTATATCCTTTCCAGTTACTGAATGAGATCTTATCTTAAAGAAATTCTAAAAGACGAGTCGATGCTGGAACAATAAAATGATACTTTTATTAACCGGACTGGGGTTCATGCACCTTTTTGACAAATTAATGGTTTTAACAAAAACAACAAACGGACCATCAAGGTGTGGGCTTTCTTTCTCAGATAATTTGCCGTTAGCATTTATTTCAGACCAAACAGAAGCGATTGGCTTGTATACTGTGTGGTGAGCGTCTCCACCCACGTTGCTGCTTTGTGTCTTATTGTTCTCTGCTCTTTGTGCTCTGATGCTGCCATTGTGCAAGTCTTTATGTGTACTAGTTCAAATGACTCCACGTCAAACTCAGCCTGCTTCCTAGCTTAGAACAATCGACTGTGTGCAATAACACACACCTGCCAACTCTTTTCCTGACTCAGCCATACCTCAGTTGTGGAAGTTAATTACCAAATCTGCCCCATAATTCACAGCCATTGGACATTATGATGAGAGCGGAACATCTCGTGGGCCAGAATACAAATTCTTGAAGAACGCTGTTTGTCTCCTCGTTGTGACAAACAGGATTTATTTCTGCACGCTGCATTCTGGTCGGCTCCTTGTTCTAATTGCATCCGATACATCAAATCTGTGAACGTAACCCGGGCAGATCACTGGCTAAGTTCTGTCCGTGGACAGTGTGCGCCAGTGGCTTTTTTAAGCAGCTTACGTCTTACCCGTCGGGAGCTTCTGCCGGTTCTGGTACAACCACGCAAACAGCTTGGCAAAGTGGCAGTTGCAGAGCCAGGGGTTGCCCTCCAGGCGCAGCATCCGCAGGGAGGCCAGAGGCTCCAGGACCCTCACGTCCAGAACGGTGAAGGCGTTCTTCTCCAGATCCAGCTCCCGTAACGCGCTCAGCCCACTGAAGGCATCGCGGCCTATCATTCTCAGGTAGGGGTTGTTTCCCAGTCGCAGCTTGATCAGACTCTTCGATTCCCCGAACATGCCGGAGGGGATTTCTGTCAGGTTGTTGCTTCCCAGGTCCAAGAAGACTAATCTAGAGGAGGAACTCAGGGTTCCCGGGTCCAGCTGGGAAAGGGAGTTATTCCTCAAGTCGAGATAGACCAGATCAGTGTAAAGGACCAGGAAGTCCGAGGGAATCCAGGGAATCCAGTTGTTGGAGAGCAGGAGACGGCGGACATCGAGAGGGATGGAGTCTGGGACTCCAACGAGACCTTGGCTGGTGCAGTTGACCGTGTGGTTGTCTGGACACAAACATCTGGACGGACAGCTGTGGCTACGGGTGAGCGAGGCGGAGACGATCAGAGCGAGGAGAGGCTGCAGCCAGGTCCCACATGGTGGCATCGTCAGCGGAGCGGCAGCATCAGTCCGGAGACGGGGGGGCCAGGGGGCGCCGGGGACACAGCCGGACACAGGTTAAGACCACGGAGGGGGGGGGGGGACGGAGAGGTCAGCGCGGCGCCCGCATCCTCCTGAGCTCTGCCAGACGACAACACTCCCCAGAAGCCTAGCATAGCAAGACAACATGGTACTCCGGCAGACCAGGGAGCAGGCAGAGTGAGCAAACAGCAGCCTGTTGGCTTTCAGGGAGGAGAGGGGAGGAGCAAAAGGGAGGGGGTGGGGGGGGCGGGGGGGGG